TGCTTGAAAAATAACCCCCAAGCAAACCATCACACTAATCACAGGGCATATAAAAAGATAGGAGGAATTCATTACTGTTACATTCTAATGGGTTGAGAAATCCAATTACTCATTTGTGCCCTTAATAAAATTTTATCCAGAAGTCTCATTCTCATGTAGGAGTAATCCTCTCAGAAATAATATCTTTCTCTTGCTGCTGGTTGGAGTGTTGTGCACCCAGTGCCTGCACAGGCAGGCAGTGTCTCCTCAGCAGCCTCCTCAAGAAACGGGTGTTTATCATGTGCATGCTTAAAATGTTCTATTTTCAATGCAAGAAATTCCAGCCTCCTTCCCCACTCTCATACAGAGTTTTCAGCTCACATCCCCACCAGAGCATCACATATGGCCATACAGATTTTCACCAAACACCAACAAGAGGCCCTAACAGTTTCTGGTTCCACACCAATTACATGTTTTGAATAATGCTGTTTGTTGTTCCATTATATTACACTCACAAGATTGTATTTGAATAACCAATAATTTTAATCACCTCTAGAAAAGTTAATTTCCAACACTGTAGCACAAATGGTTCAACATCTGCTCTTGCCTGCTACATGGGGTTTGATAAATTGCATCACTTACATAATATAAATGGGAATTGCTTGGTTACAAATCTAATGTGCATAAGCTGCCTCTGATGCATGCAGTTTCTCCAACATTCAAAAAATCCAATTTTACGTGTCACAGTTTACCCACTGCTGCATTATCTCATTAACTATCTCCTCCCAAAACAGACTGGAAATGCAAATCCTACTGAAAATCCACAGATTTAGGGCACTTAGAAGGGTTGGATAGCATGCCCCAGAAGTTGAGCTTTTGTGTTAACAGATGCACAGCATCCCTGGCATTTTTTTTTGGTCACATTGAAGTGGAAAAATACAGCACCCAGATGTGGTGGCAGGGGCAGGCTGCTGAGGGGGGAGGCTGGACACAACTGGAGATGCTCAGCTGCAAACCCTTCTGAAGGCTCACGATGGTGACTGAAGGCATCTGTTGCAACAGACAGCACCCAGCTTTTCCTTGGTGCTCTTCAGCATCCTGCTGCTCAGCCCTGCATTTCCAAAAAAATTCCCTTTGAATATCCAGTGAAAGCAGTTTGGAGCCTGAGAGGAGCACCACCAAACGTGAGCGTGAGCCAAAGGCTCTGTGGGAGCTGCAGGGACCCACCCGTGTTTCTCCCAGGACTCCTGCATCCCACAGAAGGGTGCAAAAAAACCCCACATTTTAGCACTCAGACCTATTTTCTCCTGTAAATGCAGCCTGGCAGCAGAGCAGGGAGAGGGAAGGGCCAGGTATTCCATGGCAGCTTTCCCTGTGCCATGGCACAGTCCCTGTCTGTGAGGAGGGTGGACGTGCAGCCAGCTGAGATGGGGGGCTCCTGGCTGGCACTGGGGTGAAACGAGGCACAGTCAGCAAAGCAGGAGAGGACAAGCCCTGGCAGGATGTATTTAATAAGCCCAAACCCAGAAAACCCGACTGCTTACTCGCAGTGTCTGAAAAAACAAGAGACAACTGGCCACAAAGGAACCGAAGGCATGTGAGGATGCCCTCCCCTAAAGAGAGACATGTATCCTGCTGCTCAGACAAGGGATTTCTCGATGAGCAGGCAAAAAGAAAATAGGAAAAGAAAAGATTCTCTGAGACTGCAAACACCCAGCCTCCAGCTGGACTGATCACTATGCAGTCTACATTTGATTTGTGTTTTAAATGAGCTGCAACGCTACTACACAAAACAGATCCTTCAGAGATGAATGTAAGCAGGGAGAGGAGATTTCTACCCTGCTTCACAGTCAAATACCATTTTGTGTGATCTGCACCAAAAATAAAAACGTCACTTTGCCAGACACTGGAGTCTCCATCTCCTAGCAACACGCCCCACCCAGCCTTTTCCTGAGACCCTTCAGCTCCTGCCTGCAGGCACAGCTCCCTTCCCCCGTGTCTGCAAATGAGGAACCCCTGGTACAGATACACACACATATATGGAGGTTCTCAAAAGCCAGAGGGAAATTAAGTAAACCATCTCAAGCCTGAGCCCTGGCACTGCTTTCCAGGAGCATCCCGGGCTCTGCTCTCACCAACACTGCAGAGGGTGGAAGGCACTGACCCACCTTGGGACATCCTTGCTGCCAAGCAAAGGCCTTTCTGTGAGTCTCCTGCAAAGCTTAAGGCCCCAAAATACATCCTGTAAGTTAAAAACCTGATTAATATCAATCCGATGTTTCTAATAGAGAGCCTCTGTGTGTCAAGAGGCAGTGGAAACACTCACGGCATCAGCTTGCTCTGAGATTTAGTAAAAAATCTCTTTTTCAGCTTTCAGGAAACAAGTAGGACAGTGCATCTCCATGCAGCAACTCTTGTTAAACATATTAGTTTAGCCATTAAACAAACACCACTCGAGTTCACACCACTTTGTGTGGTGTTGCATTCAGGCAGAGCCAGGGCTTGCCAGGGCTGGAAGGGGAGATCAAACAAACCCCAAAGACAGAGCAGAGCTGCCCAGAGCTTGCAGAGTAGAGACTTGCACAGGCTGACAACTTTGCAGCTGCCTGAAGAAGGCAGAGCTTTCTCAGGCATTCCAGGAGATTGCAGCATTGTATCTTATCCAGAGTTTACTCTTTGTGAACCCTGTTTCTCTTATGCCTTCACGTACATCAATTGTTCTGGTTGAACAGAGACGGTTTCATTATCCTACAAACGGTTTTGTGTTACAGCAACCTTCCTCTTCTACCCCCAGCTTGCTATTTTAGTTATTTATGTTATTGGATTTCTTGAATTAAGTTGCTGTTGTATTATTTATGATAGCACAGTTGCATAGGCTGGTCATTATTTTATCGGGGACCCGGTGTTTACACACACTGCTCCAGCTTCCCAAACAGCCCTTTATTACCTTGGAGCACAGACTGCATTTGTGACTGCCTTCTGCTACTTCTTGCAGCTGAATGAGAAACAAAGAGCTACAAATTAACACTATTAAAATGTGGCAGGACCACTTTCCAGATATGCTAGGTGCCGATTTTGGTGTTCAATCATGCTGCCTTTTTGGCAGGAGCATCCATCCTTTTTCTTTTTCTTTTTTTTTTTTTTTTTTTTTTTTTTTCTTTTTTTTTTTTTTTTTTTTTTTTTTTTTTTTTTTAATGTAAACAATCCATGTGGTCCAGGCAAAGTTTCTGTTCTACACAGGAGGGAGAACATCCTGCTTTCACTATTAAATATTCTGGAATTCTGGCTGAAAGTGTCCCTTAAGTGCACTTTGTCTCCCAGCCCAAGGCACAGCTGAGCCTCAGAGGGTGCATTTGGAGCCCTGCCCCTCACAGCCAGCATCCCTCCTGTGGGGACGTGCCCTCGGGGCCCAAAGCAGCTCCCCTGGCTGGTGAACAGTGTCACCAGAAGGAGGGACCCACCCAAGGAAGCAGCACCAAAAAGCAGGCCATACCCCAAGGACAGTGCCACCCTCTGATGGGCACATCCCTGGGCAGGTGTGGCATCCCTCACAGCAGAGAAGGGTGCACCCTGAGGACACTGTGACCCTCAGGTGGCAGTCACTCCAAGGAGAGTGCCACCAGCACCTCTCTGACGTGTGCCACACAAGCCAGGCACAGCACAAGGAGGTCCATGTCCCCACAGCAGGCAGGTGTACCCCAAGGAGGGAGCAGCCCAAGGGTGGCACCACCCCAGGGAGAGTGTCACTGCACGCAGGGAGGGTGGTCCCCAAGCAGAAGCTGTCACTCCCAGGCAGGTGCATGGAAACTGAAGGTGCACACGGAGGACAGTGCCACCAGAGAGGATGATGTCCCTTGTGGCAGATGCTGCTCCGAAGGGGTGTCACCCCTGGCAGGTGCGTGGCAATAGAGAATGTACCCCAAGTACAGTGTCACTTGGGGGGGGGTGTCACCCCCAGGCAG